ACGAAATTTCCATTCCCGGGAAGCACTTTGGGAACACTTTGAAGGATTCATTAAAAATCGTTTAAATCGTTCGAAATTTTAACAATATACTTTTCGTGCATCTCGAACAAGGCAAAGTTCTGTGATCCAGCAATGTGCATTCCAAAAGAAAAACTTCACAAATATCAACAATTTTCATTGAGTAGGAGATTACACTCGAAATTACAACTTAAAAAAGATTTGCTTCAATCAAGAATTGTAAGAACTTGAAAGATGTTGTTAGTTTTTCAAACCACATATCCTCCTTCACTTTTTTGACAAGGATGAATCCATTTGAAAACATGGATTTTCTTGATTATTCTCCAAAACTACCCTTGAAATATAAGTATGTAGGATATTACAGTGTAAATTGACACGCCTTTGTTCGCTCCAAATCGTGAAACAATAAATGCAGTACAATCTCTCAAAATTTTAAAACAGAAAGTTCATGCTGTATGTAAACAACAAAAAACACATATACCTGGTATATGGTTGATTCATGATAAAAAATGACAAAAACATACATCTTGAAGTGGGGTCTACAGGACGCAGGGAAAGTTCAGAAAAGGCCATATCTTAAAGATTGCTTCACCATGATGTAACAGATCATCAAAATTATCATTAACACGTTTGCTACATAATATATTGAAAATAATAAACCAGAAGTTTACTTCGATTGTGGCACCATTCTCAGTAAATATTGATGAACATATGAATTTCGAATGTTGACTTACTTACTGAACCTGACTGTAAAATGTTTGTAAACTTTTATTTTCCTCTCTTTTGGAGATTGCGTTTGCCAAAAGTTCTGTCGGTGTTTATCTTGATGTTTCCTGAGATGAGAATGTTCCCTCTTCAGATATGGCTAATATAATCGAATTCAGTCCTTAGACGATAGAAATATTTCATTTGTAGTAAATTATAAACTTACTAAATTACTAAATTTTTAATAATATAGCTTCTAAGCTTGCCCTTAGATATACATTTTTTAGTTTATCAATATGCCTCAGTCACATTTGATCTACGGCAGCCGTAAGGCGGTCGTGGCTTCCCAAAATCAAGAGAAATATGCAGCATGAAATATAAGGATAAGCAGTGCGATGTAGATTTTCTATATCAAGTTTGTGAAGCTACGGCCGCGCGCAGTACGGCCGCCGTATAGCAAATATTACTGGGGCTTTAGTCATAATCATACAAAAACCATATCCAGCTTTCCAAAGTGGGCGTTTGTAAATTTTGATAGAATTAAAATCCTACTAAGAACAAAATCATATTATGTAATGGATTAGATCAGGAATTAACATGATAACAAGTATATTCGCCCAAGATAAAATCTATTGATTTGCCATCAAATACATTAATTAATTCCCCATTGCTGTTGCTTCGTATACTTCCAGCTCATTAGTTGAACACAATGGGTCTGTCATACTACTCTTCAGTGAATCCCTCACTATTCAATCTGAGCACCAGATCTGATTTTTATGCCTTAGATCGGATTAGACGATTACTAAATGGACATTTGTGGACTTATCTCTCCGCATTACTCACTTAGATTTTTAGCTACCCTGCGTGCAGAGTCTAGTTAAACTACAACGAATGAAGACGAAGCTCTCTTTTAAGAAGTGAAGTCAAACGAATGCAAAGGGTAATTTTTAGCGTGAAATGAATAATTAACTTTTCCTGGCCAAGCCCATCCCACCCCCAAATCTTCGACTGTGTTCGTAGTGTTCGACTTCGCTTCTTAAAAGAAAACGTCGTCTTCACCATGGGAAGTTGAGTTCAACGCAATTATGGATATGTATTCAGTGAGCGAATAGATCTTGTTGCAGTATTAAACAAAACTACGTTCTCGTTCTTGTAATGCTTATGTCACGTGCTCTTGCTTTATTTCCTTTTGATGTTTAATGTAATTTCATACTTGTGGCCATAAACCTGTTGGCACAGTTGATAAATTGAGAGAACATTTAAGTGAAACATTGCATCATAATGGCAATTTAACTTAATCAATCGTCCATTCGCAAAACTCAATTCCTCATTTGCCATTTGAAATACCTTGCAGATATACTTATTTAAAATTTTAAGTTATCCACCAGGAGACAAATGACCATGGTTACTATATGTGTCTCCATTAACTTACATGCATAGAAATGTACCGGGAGTAATTTGGAAGATTTTCTTAAATTCTATAAGACATTGATCGAAATATTATTGAATTATCTTGTAGAACAGAGCTAAAACTGCCTATCTGCATTCCAATTGATTTCTTCGATGTCTGAATGTAAAAGATAGTCCAGGAATTACCCTAAATTATCCGACATATAATCTCATTTACACATTTGGGTTTGTATCTATTTTCGAGGAATTCTATGATTGATTTTTTAGCTTTCTAGATTCTAGTATTTCTTCAAATCCCACCAAATCTCGATACAAGACTGACGGAATAACTAATAAGCGTATGGCAATTTAGGCTTTTTCAAATAAATGAATGCAAAATTAAGCAGTTGGTGTCTTCAAATGAATATAAACCAAAGGTTTGGAATTGTAAATCTCACTTCAGGATGCATTTATCAATACGATGTCACATTCAGGGGTTAATATGCCCTTTCCATTTCGCAAACGACATACTTGTTGGGTGTCTGTAACCTTGGATGATGATACAGATTGGAATGTAAATATATGAATAATTTAAAGAGTGAAATAATCAGCCCTGTCTAGCAAAATTGACTTGTGCCTTTTCATTTCTACAAGGATTTACATACAATCTGCAATATATCTATCTCATTCTAAATACAATTCGTGTTTAAATTGCTATAAAATTGCAATAGAGACTGAAATTCTGAAATTAGAGATTGTAATCAATCTTGATACACTTAAATCAATACTCTCACGCTCACCCTTGACAAGAATAGCATTCCTTATAGACTCTTGAAATGAGAGATGATTCTTTGATCTAGCCTATATCCAATCAGAATGCTAGAAAATCATGACACTGCATTATTTTCATATTCAAATCCCTATGAAATCCAATGGAAACTCCATTCAACTTATCAGCATCAAAACTTTAAAATCATCTTTAATTAAGAGTATAGTGTGACTAGTCAGTACAAATTCAGGGTATTTCTGCCTGATTTGTGCTCTTCCTTAATTTCCATTCTTTACTCCCTAAGTAATATAAATAAATGGAAAAGCTGTTATATTGGAAAAGCATTCTACCCAGTACAGTATCGCAAAAATAAGTAATCAATTCTAACGGGAATATTGTAGATGTTTTTTATTTATTCCCAATGGGTAATTTAAATAGCATCCCTAATATATGAAGAAATATATGTTCATCCCATAGCGGAATTCTATTTTCACATTACCTGGAAAGTACATAACAGCATCACCAAGGTAACTGCAAAAACATAACAGGAAACATTGGTAGGTGTTCCCATTTATTGCATTCTGTTTGTTACAGTAAACAGAGACATGTGGATTACATTACAACATACATTTACCCAGAGACTGGACATTAAGGTCAATCTGAATATTAAAAAATGATAATATCAACCAGTTATTTTTTTTTGTTTGAAACATAAAGCTCAAATCGTAAATCAACCACTTGAGTCGCGAGCATGTACCAAAGTAAGAAATGTGAAGGGTGGTTGATATTATCATGGGTCTATTGAAAGCCTGTGATGTTATATATTAGTAACCCATATGGTTGATATTCAATGGCACTTATATTTGAGGTGCAATAAATCAGTTATTGCACGATGATATTCTGTTGAACCTCATATTACCTATAATCATATTGCAATAACCTCACAGTAAATGGAATGTCATACATAACTACATTACCCTAGATTGAATATTATGATGGTCTATTAAGAATAACACTATCATAAAGAGGCACACTTGATCTTATATAAATAAAATAAACAAAAATGACCTAATAAGTGATTGTGACATATTTCAGATATTAATGGGCCAGCTCTGTCCATAAATGGCAAAGTTGTACAAAATTACATGTACCAGTTGTAGAGGGTGGCCTATATAACATATTGTCTTTGGTATATGCTATTAGCTTATTATTTAAATTCTTATTTGCATATTTTTTGAGACTAACTCTGTAAATAAAAATCTAGTTTTGAATTTGAATATTACTACATATTTAACTTTTAATAGAGCAACATTGACAATATCCCAGATGCAAGTAGAAATAATCTTGATTTATGTCATTAAAAATCCACAATTCAGTTAAACTGATGTCATATTTGGAATCTACATGTAAAATTAGATATGTAGAAATGTGGTTTTGAATAGAGTTTATCAACTTTGAAAATTTAATTTTCTTTGAAAATGTGACTTCTAGGTCGGGGAGATTCCCCATAGACCCCATGTTGTAAAACCACAAAAGTGAAAGATCTTTTCTTGTGTTGGGTAGATAATATTTTCTTTTACTGGACATATTTTAATTTGTATAACTATCAGATACATAAGGGTAATATGAAAAGTGAACCACTAAAACTGATGCATATTCAAGTTTAAGGGAATTTTGCAATACCCTGCCAAGTTAATTCCCCCGAATCAGCCACCTGGTGGCGAAACTGGTAACTACCTACTCGCATCTGAGTTATTAAAACAAGCTAACAGGAAGTAGTAAAAACAGTTCATGCTGCCATCTATAGGATTTCTGAAGTTCAGTATGCAGTTGAAGGATAAACCCAACTTCCAAACTTATTATGATGTCCATATAGCACAATAAGGAACTTATTTGATAAATATACGTAGATGTTGATGAATTGATGGAATAACAAATAGTTAAATACAGATAAAAACATAATGTGACATCATATATTGAAAAATCCTCAGTGTTCTTAGGATATTTCTTAACTAGGTACAAATTTTGATTTTACATATCCAACTAAAAATGACTGGAAGTTGTCAACAAATATTTTAAGTCCAATTCACTGAAGCATAAATCACTGCCTTCTATGATGTTTCATGAAAATTTCTGCTTGATTTGACATAATAACAGCATGTTGGATGGAAGAAGTCATTATCGGGATAAGTACTAGTGCTATGAAGTTTGTAAAGCTTTGCGGATTGATTTGTTGTCAGGATGGTTGTAGGCCAGAAGAACAGGCTTGTGAAGCAGTAAGGAGATGTTTGTTTCTGAAAAATAAGAAAAACACATCACATTTTAATAATTATGAATTTTAAAACATCTCACATGTACTGTACAAAATATACACCAATATTGCAGCTTATACAGGGTGTCCCAAAAAAGGAAACCGAGATTAAATTGCTTATTTGTCAGAGATGGATAATGTTAGGGAAAATTCGCAGGTACCATCATTGCGTCTTTGTGTCCTCTTTCATATGATACCAAGATGTTCTATTTTCCTCCAAAGATGACTGAGCAATGAGGGATTTAAGTGACCATGTCAGAAATAGGTTTGGGCCATTCATTATGGACTATTTAGAGATATTATTAGTTTAGTATGGTGTGGGAAGTCGAGAGACTACATAACATTGAGTTTTGATCAGCTTTGAGCTTTGAAATGGATTACATAAAGTAAAGTGTAGTAAAAGTTGATGCATCTTGTAATTTGATGCTGTATATAGTATATATCAAAGGGTGCTCCCAACATCATACTAAACTAATATTATCTCAAAATAGTCCATAATGAATGAAGATAATTTCATTGCGGGAAAGACACCCCCACCCCTCTCGTATATTAATATTTAATATAGACCTACTACTCAGGGGGAATGTTCAAGTTTAAGAATTTTGCTTCAGCATTTGAACAAGAAAGCTTCTGACTTTTGCACAAACAACTTTTACACTTCCTTAATCAGATATAAAATATAAGGCATAACTTTAGATCGATATTCAACAGTCTCTCGGGGAAATAATGAAGATAATCAGGGAAAACAATTCATTCAATTTCCTGTGCTCCTCGAGGTATTTCTGCAATGTTGTTTACCTGTATAGTTAGATTCTTCGTTCATTTTTGCAATAATTATCATGAACTCCCCAATAACATTGTAACAAATTCTTTAATTTAGCTTTGGCTGTTGTTGCAAATAAGCCATCCTTGGCAATAAAAATTGAATTTCCCAGAAATTTTTGACTTTTTCCATGTATGAGCACTTATTAGAATGGCTAAAAGGAGGTATTTTGAATTTTCTCCCCCCCCCCTTCTGGGTGCTTATTACGGAGAATACGGTATGTGATATTTGACTTCATCAAATTGTAAAACTGTAATAACAATTTGCAGATAACTAATACCATGTTCAATAAGCTTATCTGATATACTACCTATATATCTAGTGTGACATTCTTCTTTTAGCTCATCAAATATTTCTGTTTTGCCACAGGCAACATGCTCTGATGGTTTATTAAGACATTTTCCTTGATCTCATGCAGGAAATGGTAACCATTAAAGTGTGATGTTTTGATGTTTATCATACATTTATTGGCCTCGATGCCCTTGTGTATTGCATAAGGGGATTCATATTGTGTTGTCACTGTCATTTTTTGTAAAAACAGAAAAAATGTGCGTTATTGTATCAACCCAAATTAGATGAGATGAAACCCAAATAAAAGACCTCATACTGTCCAAAAGATTTTGAATCTCCTCGATTCGCAATCTACATTATCCCGTAGCATCTCACATCTCAAGAAATGAGATGACATTATCTATTTTAATGGGTTCCCTCCAAGCAAGATGAATATAAAATAAGAGTATATGGCTCACTTCGTGTATTTATTAGTCACGATAATATATGTATCAATGGTTTACTAATAGATATAATATCATGAGTGAGTGATTCATAACATGTTTACTTTTTATCAAAATTAACCAGAACAACGGCAACGCCAAAGCGTAGCGAATCCCATCGAACAGCCATGGATGGCATTTTTACAAACGAAGGATATAGCAAAAATGGCAGCCATTTTTCAAAATGGCCACCTTCTACCAAAAGTGTCATTAGACCATGTGCCATGCTTATAGTATTGACATACCAAATATGAACAAAATCGCTCCACTACTTTTCAAGTTATAGTAAAATACGTTAAAATGGCGGCCATTTTTCAAAATGGCCACCTTTTACCAAAAGTGCCATTAGACAGTGTATATACAGTGCTTATAGTATTCACATACCAAATATAAACAAAATCGCTCCACTACTTTTCGAGTTATAGTAAAATACGTTAAAATGGCGGCCATTTTGAAAAATGACCGCCTTCTACCAAAAGTGTCATTAGACAGTGTGCCATGCTTACAGTATTCACATACCAAATATGAAGAAAATCGCTTCACTACTTTTCGAGTTATAGTAAAATATGTTTAAATGGCGGCCATTTTTCAAATTTTTTTTCAAAATGGCCGCCTTCTACCAAAAGTGTCATAGGACAGTGTGTCATGCTTATAGTATTCACATACCAAATATGAACAAAATCGCTCCACTACTTTTCAGGTTATAGTAAAATACGTTAAAATGGCGGCCATTTTGAAAAATGGAGGCCATTTTTCAAAATGGCCACCTTCTACTAAAAGTGTCTTTAGACAGTGTGCAATGTTTATAGTATTCACATACCAAATATGAACAAAATCGCTCCACTACTTTTCGAGTTACAGCAAAAATCGTAAAATAACGAGTAAAGACCGCCATTTTTCAAGATGGCTGCCATGTGCTTCTTTCATATCTACATTTCTAGCTTTATTAATGTCCTATTTAATTTTTTTACATCTAAAACATATTGCTGTTACAATTTTACATATTGTACCTAAATTACTGTAAATTCGACACTAAAATGGCCGCCATTTTGAAATGAGCCGCCATTTTGAAAATCGGCTTTCGAGCAGAACTTCTACCCCCATAGGGTATATGTGTACAAAATATGAACAAAATCGGGCCAACGGTATTTGAGTTATTGCCCGGACGGACGGACGGACGGACGGACGGACAGACGTACGTACGGACGGACGTACGTACGGACGGACGGACGTACGTACGGACGGACGGAGGCGTTCCCTATATCCCTCCGAACTTCGTTCGATGGGATAATAATAAAGACAATCAAACAAAACGTTTTAGAGTTATTGGTCTTCCTCTAATTGCACACAACGTATGAATTTCTCATTGACGTCATCGTGAAGTGTTTATTAGTTTGAATAGAGATAATTGCATATTATTACATATGTATGATATATGACAAATATCTTTGTTAAAGTTGTTAATAACAAAGAACAAGACAAGGAGTCAAGGACCATATGTATGCACAATGCAATGCAGTGACTCATTGGAGCTGGCCTCAGCTGTAAAACATTTGTTCTTTTCTATGTGCTTCCTGCAAGTCGAAGATTAGAGATAAAAGTTTTAAAAAGATTCACAGGGATTGTGTTCTGAGATTAGTAGCGCAGTCTACCTTTGGTAGTTCGACTTTTTCAGGAAAGCAACAAACTTGGCACAGTTGTAGAAACACATGATCTGAATGAAAAATGATTTCGGGGCAATTGATTCGGGGTGGTCTTCATGGATTTTAAGCCTCTGACCCCCACCCCTATCAGGCGGGGAGGGGGTACATTATAATAAAATAAATAAAAATAGTTGTAAAGTATATTTCTTTAAATGACTTCATTTGGTCATTGCTTTGAGCCTTGAAAATGAGAAAAACCTATTTTAGGAGTGGTGTTTAGGAAGGAAAATACATTTTAACCCAATTATCTAGCGTGAATTCATCTTTCAAAGGGTCAAATATAGGACATCAAGTACTGTATTTCAAGAATGTGATGTCTGATCATCCTGAAAAAATTCATACTAATAGAGATATTGGTGTTAATCACTCATATGATATATGGCTTGTGTAGCTCATGTAATTTTTGATATTTGGATATTTAAGCCCTTGCGGCCTAGGGGTGACCTTATTTTACCTTAATAATTTTTAAGATATGCGATGTTTGGGCCTCATATGAATTCTAAATGTTGCATTAAGTATTGTTTTGTCATATTATTCCTAATTAGATGTAAAAAAATTATAGAAAATCAAAAAAAATCAAATTTTCATTTTCGGTTCTAAAGGGCCAGGGGTAACCATATTTTACCCTAATAATTTCCCAGATATGTAATATATGCATCTCAAATTAGCTCAAGATGTTGCATATAGTTCTGTTTTATCATACTTCTTCCAATAAGATGTAGAAAATGATCGGATACATCTAAAAAATCAAAATTTTCACTTAAGCTCTTGATGGCCCTGGGGTAACCTTATTTTACCTTAATAATTTTCTAAATATGAGACATAGTCACCTCAAATGAGCTTAAGATGGTATATTTAGTCCTGTTTTATCATATCATTCCCAAGGAGTGAAAAAATGATTGGAAATTATAAGAAAATTACATTTTCATATTACACCCCCAATCCGCAACATCTTCTTGCAGCGCTGTAAACAGTACTGAACAGTGCAGTCAGAGTACTGCACTATATAGCAAGGTACAATGCTATTCTAACACCATCTGTTTTGGACAGCGTAGTACAGTACTGTTTTTACAGCTCAGAACTGTTTTAGAAAACAGCTGTGTACAGTACTGTTTTTACAGCACTGTTTATGAAACCATGCTGTTTGATGCAGTTTGAGATTGGTAGTGTTGTTTATGATAGGTCAGGAATGACCTAATTTTACCTTAAAAATTTAAACAAAGAAATGTCATATTGTCTACTCAAATGAGCTCAAAATAGTGAATATAGTCTAGTTTTGTCATATTATTCCTACTGAGATATACAATAATGATTAACAGTTATAAAAAAATGAACCTCAACAGCCATTTATTCCTTTCTAGTACCAATGGCAATATTATCTTTTATAGAACATTTTCTAAGATGTGAAAATGTTTGAAGTCTAGTTCATACTAGCACGAGTAGTAGCATTGTTAAGATTCTGTATATTATCATTTGAGTATATAATCCAAATCTATAAAACCTAATCAAAGGAGACACAATTTATGGATTCTGACAGTCTCTCCTACAGCTACATAGCTCAGAGCAAATCAGATCTGCTTTCAAACATTTGCATCTGTTCTCTTGACACAGGTATCTACCCCATGACCTACATTTTATGTTGTGGCCTCAGTATCAGCAGTGGGAGTAGGCCAGCCACATTCATGTGGTGATAGAAACTGTGGCAGAAATGCATCAGAATGAATAAGGACTCTAGTCTTCTAATTTTAGGGTATCAAAAAAGATTTAAAGCTTTAGAACACTTGCGTAACCTCTGGGTACACCTTCTATTCCTGCAAATCAGTTGACTAAGAGTAGTAGCAGAATGCATCTAGAGACTGTATGAAAAATGGTAAGGGCTAAACTTCGTTCATGGCCAAGTGGCCTTGAAATATCTAAGACAGGTCGTACATTCTGGAGGAATTTCCCCTCACCATAGGCCATATGCAATCCAAATTGACATTTTCAGCACAAGTTACTGCCAGTTTAAACCACACCAAAATCAACTGTATTGACTATGATTCTTATTAGGTCATGACAGAAGCAGTCTTTGGCATGCTTCTTCATACGAGCGAATGGTGATGGCAGATACTTCACTATCGGGCTAAGATATTGCATTACCTCATTGTGAGGTCACAATCTTCTTGCCATCTTCCTCCAGGGTTTCAGTTTTGATGCCTGGAAGGAAAACAGCTCCCTCTTGTTCCAACTATCTTAGGAAATCTTGCCAATTCCACAGAAGAAAATTAGTAGGATATACTTTCCTCACTGTTCCAGTTTTGTGCTGTTTGTATCTATGCTCATTAACATCAAAGTTGAATGACTAAGCTACATAGTAGATGCCAAAATAATAGACAGGGCATGTATAGTTAAACATGCTAACAGTGATAAAGAAAATTGGGTGATTATGCAAATATGATATTACCCACGTAAAAGTCTGCAAATAGTTCATTGCCTTGATGTCAGCTGGAATGTTTACCAGGACACTAGCTTAAAGGGGCAACAAGGTCTGTAGAAGATTCAATTTTTTTACTTTTTCTGAGCTATCAGGGTAATATTTGGCTAAACATCTTCTTTGACATACCTATTTTCTTAAAATGTATGGATAAACTATCAATTTTAGCATTAACAAGTGTAAATTCAGTTCAAAGCTTCTATAAAGGGAGGCCCACTTATAGATTTTTAAGATCCAAAACATTTCAAGAGGAATCAGCTGAAATAATGTTCATCCAGGGGGTTTCTTTGGAAAAAAATAAACATATATGTTAGTCTTGATGAAATATCCAAACTTGAATATATTTTGACACTGGTCCATGATCGTTGAGTGGCCCCTTTGCACTAATTGTTGCACCTTTAAAACAGCACTAGAGAGACTTGTGGAACTGGAACAAGGATAGTCTAAGGAGGAAACTGAAACCCTTGAATTGGATGGAAAGAAGATAGTGACCACATAAATTAAGGAGGCAATGCAATGTTTTAGCCCAACAGTGAGGTTCTGCCCTTGCTCTTAAGAAGAAGCAGATTCAAGGATATTTCTCAATATTTTCAGTAAGACTGCTTCAATCATGGCCTTCAAGAGAAAGAATAATAATCCTTACATTTAATTCTGATGTGGTTATCCTGGCATATATGTGATGTTAAAAACTGAAAAAGTCAATTTGGATAGCATATGGTAAGGGAGAAATCCTATCAATATCTACCTGACAGAATCCTTGTCACCTTAGCCCCCCCCCCCCATCAGGCTAAGGTGACTGGACTTACTACCCTTTGCATTCATTCGACTTTCCTTCTCAAAAGAGAGCTTCGTCTTCACTCTATCAGTTTTCAATAAATCTCTGAACTCACTGCGCTAATCAGAGTTTGTTGTCGAAATAAGGACGGCTTTCTATATGGTCATTTTCTCTGACGAAATCGCATCATTAATGTACACGCATTTAGCACTTGTTCCTTCAAGCTCGCTGATTGGTTGAGAATAGGTCAGCATGGTTTATTGCAGCTTGGGTCATAAATACTTTAAGACCCTAGCTGCCAATGGCATTGGTCATGGGGACGGGGCTGCTAAACCCACTCCATTCTTTGCCTCTATATTATGGTAATATATGATAAAATCATCTCTGACCTGTCAAAAGCTAAAGATGTCATTTTTCAAATTTCAATTATTTTTTACATCTCCTAAGGAATAATATGACAAAACAAGAGTATATGACACAATTTTAAGCTCATTTGAGATACATAGGTCTCATAATTAAGACTTGTTCAAGATTAAATAAGCCCCTCCCCCAGGCCATCATAAGCTAAAATGAAAATTTCAAATTTTAAGAAATGCCCAATCATTTTCTACATCTTATTGGAGGTATTATGATTAAACAGAACTATATGCACCATCTTGAGCTAATTTGAGATACATATATTACAAACCTTGAAAGTTATCAAGGTAAAATATGGTTACCCTTGGCCCTTCAGAAGCGATAATGAATTTTTTTTTTTTTTTGAAAAGTTCCAATCATTTTTCAATCCAATTAGGAATAATATGACAAAACAATGCACCATTTTGAGCTCATATGAGACCCATACATTGCATATCTTAAAAATTATTAAGGTAGAATAAGGTTACCCCTAGGCCGCAAGGGCTTAAAAATTCAATTTTCGATAATTTTTATCTCAAAAAATACATGAGCTACCCAAGCCATATTCTATATTTGTGATGAACACCTATACCCCTATTAGTGTGATTTTTTCCAAGATGATCAGACATCACATTCTTGAAATACAGTACTTGATGTCCCATATTTGACCCTTTAAAATATGAATTCACGCTAGATAATTGGGTCAAAATGTATTTTCCTCACTAAACACCACTTCTACAATTGGTTTGTCTCAATTTCAAGGCTCAGAGCAATCACCAAATGAAGCCATTTAAAAAAATTTACTTCAAAACCATTTTTATTTATTTTTTATAATGTACCCCCTCCCCACCTGATAGGGGTTGGGGTCAGAGACTAAAAAATCCATGAAGACCACTCCGGATCACTTGCCCCGAAATCATTTTCGACTCAGATCAAGTGTTTCTACAACTGTGCCAAGTTTATTGCTTTCCTGAAAAAGTTGAACTATAAAGGGCTCATTTCTGGACATCTGACTGCGCTATAGCAGAGGTCTAACTTTATGTAAGTTTTCATGCACAAAATGGTTTACAAGTTTTTTCTTTCAAATTATAAAAGTATTCATGATTCCTGTGCCTCAGCTATGTCTCTTACCATCGATCTCCATGCTAATGGTGGTCCATTGGGTGAGGTAGTGTATCATGTCATCCTTTGAAAGACGCGTGGCATTCAATCCTCTAGTAAAGCAGGCCTGCAATCAAATCGCAACAGTAATTTAATCTATAAATGGATGGTATTCAATCAAAGCTCAATATATATGGAAATGCATAGAATACAAATTATTCCTTGAAAATATGATTGATAGTTAAGTCAAACTTCATTATAGACATGCCAGTAATTTAGTATGACACATCCAAGTAATAAGTGAAAGACGATAATGTGTACTCAAGCACATCTGAAGTATAATCTTGTGATATCGTAACAAGTAATATAAAATTCAAGATGTCATTATATGTATAAGTAAGAATTACTGTTGAATGAATAAATAACCTAAAAAATGTATGTATCTAATAGATCACAAGATTTTGCATAAAGAAGCATCTCTTAACATTGTAGAAATAACTGGTCATATCTGACAAGGAGGATTGGCTCCCAGAGTGCAACATCGATATTCTGTCCCATATATGGGCATGTCGTGCTACAAAATTTGAATTCCAACGACCGCCATTTTGTTCACTTCAACATTTGAATTGTGAATTTTGGTCTTATTTCCTAACGAAAAATTCCAAAACTCACAAGAAATGATCGAGATATTGGTTAGAATATTTTGAACTGTTTATTTTGAATTTATAATCGGTTTTAATTTCAGAAAATAACGACATTTCGGCGTTTTCATTGTTGGAAAATATCGACTTCGATTCTGGGAGCCAATCCTCCTTGCATATCTGAGAAACGATTTCAAATGCCAATAAATATTGTCATCATTCACTTGGAAACCATATGGAGCTATATCACATTATGACATCACAATATCAATCATCAGACATCACACAGACACTACAAGAGTCACACACAAACACACAATTGCTATGACATTTCAAAGTCTTTGAAATCCAGTCACATAGTATTCAGTTTCATTATGACATCACAATTAAAACCCTGATTTACAAAATGACATCATTGCTCTGATCACCATGGCAATAAAGAATAATGAATGAAACTGCACAAAAAAAGTAATAACAGCAGATTGATGTATTGCTCCCTATTTTTATCAGGACAACTCTAGTAAACAAGGTAAGAAGTATAAGGTGGTTAAATAACCTCAAGAATTTTTACATGTTTCCAAACAGTCCACCAAGGCACCAACCTCTGCTAATGAGGATGTAGGAGATGGGAAGAATTCTCTATTGGGGATAATTTCAGCAAAGTTGAGTCCTTTGAGTAAGTCCCATGAACAACATTAATAAAGGGAAACTTAAGCTTAACCCCTGGCAACAGCTTAACCCCTGGCAACAGCTTAACATCATCTACTCTTTATTAGAGATACAGTAATTCATTGATTTAGGACCATGAGGCTATTAAAGCTACATTTGAGATTATTAAGATTCAATTAGCATTAAACCTGTTACAACATCTGTTAAAGTGAGAGGGTGATGTGACTAACTTCTGGGATGCAGGGTATTAACCTTTAAAGGATAGGTTTCGATATGGTGAACTGAATTCAACAAAGTTTTTCTCTAAAACCAATTATTGAAAACATTCTGTAAAAAACAGGGTCCTTTATGTAATGTTGACTGATGCAAAAATCATTTATATATATTTTATATAACTGTTTTTGTTAATATTTTTTGTTTTTTAGTGCAATTGTTTTTTGTTCCTTTCTACCAATTCTTGAGAATGAAATAAAACGTCTTTCTGAACCTTGTTGGAACAAAATAGCATATACAACATTTTCTTAGACCTCTCAATATTATATAGTTATACAAAGGAAATTTTGGTTGATTTAACAAAAAGTATGCAAGAACAAAACAAAACCCCCCACAATATATAAAAATTAAGATAAATCTTTTAATTTAATAAGATACTTTTTTAAAATCAACCAAACTTTCCTTTGTACAATTACAATATTAAGTTGTGTTTATGTCATTTTGTTCCAATGAGGTTCGGATATATGTTTCATTTCATTCCGAACATATGATACCAAGAAAGAAAGAAGTGTCTGATGCGTTTTCTAAAACAATATAAAGAAAGGTATACTGTATGTATATAATTCAAATTATAATGTTACCATCCAAAAGATGACCATTGAATTGACGATGTGTAGAATTTTCAAAATGTTTTGATGACTGGTTTAAGAGAAACGCGTGTTCAAAAAGTTCACCATTTCGATACCACTCCTTTACATTAAATTCAGCATGGCATCGGGCATAGCAGAACACAATGAGGCCAGAAGGAGGGAGAAAGTCTATCTACGTAAAGCACATTTAGAACGAGCATTCATAAAAGGAGAGAATTTGATACTTGGTGAAAGACATGATGACCCATCAAGTGCTCAGAAAGCTACAATAAGCTGTCCACCAAAAGCAAAACCTCAGTCCAACCCATGTTCATGTGAAGGTGCTCCAGATGTTAAGGTAGTCGGAATGCCTCCATTTGGGACATCAGAGAAATGCAGTTGTTCCCCATCTGAACCAATCAACATAGCAGAATACATCATTGTACCACCATATGCCCAACATGAGGTTCAGGAGAATTTGCCAAAGAGGAAGTCACACGATGAATGGATCTGTGATCAGATGTACTCAGCCAAGATGAACAATCGGTACAGCTCAACGGACTATGCCAGTCAATGGTAGCACAGATATGAGAACAATCACAACAATTTATGTACTAATATTACGCATTCACTGCAATTACTGCATTACATAGTAAATAGTAATATGTCATGTTATCAAATGAGCAATTTGTTTATCAATCAAATTCAAAAGCAAATGTTATATGTTTGATCCTCCAGTATCATGTAGCAATATTATTCATACAATAAAATCCTCTATTATCACCACATTCAAAACTGTACATTGAATACTAAATGGGTGGATATGGAGATAGATTTCATACCTCATGATAATTATTTAATGACTCTGTATTCAGAATTTCAGAGGCTTATTTCAGAAGTACAACATTTGTCTCTAAAACTACAATTACTGAATGTACTCACAGGTTAAAATGATAATTTACTTAGTATAGGCCAGTTTTTGGCAAAATGTTAATTAATGTTCATTCTGTCAATAGAGGCCTTTCCATATAGCTTTGAAATCTCGTTAAAGTCTCGTTTTTAATGAGATTTTAGGAGATCTGCATTTTTAACCACCAAAGACTAACATTTTCTTCTATTTGATGGCATATCTGAATTCTGTGTGTAATTTTCTATCAAAACAAATTTGATTTGCACTGTTATTTACCTTAATTCAAATTCTAGAGATTTTCAAGCTCTCTAAAAATGATCTGGGTAAATCCCCATTGATGCAATGTTGAAAAACCTTATACGGTTCATTTACTTTTATAAGGATCACAATTTTAATGTGAAATCACAATCCACATGTCAATAATATCATATAGTTCATTCCAATGGTGTTTTAAGTTGATCCAAATGGAATTACTTGTTAAATCAAGAAATTAAGTGACTCTTGCTATTAAGTTGCCATGTTATTTAGCCCTAACAATACCCATGATGCCATCTATTTTTCTATTTATATGGAAAAGGATCAATTGAGCTTTTGCGATCAGAATTCAGGAATTCCGTTTATGGATACAGTTGTCATGTATTTCGTCTTATTGGTGTGACGTCATACAGAAATGATATTAGACATGATGGAGAGATGAAATGGTGGACACGTGGCAGTTTTGAGGTAAAAATTTTATTATTTCTTTTTTGAAAACCATGGGTCCATTATTTACCAGGTATGCCGATTTGACTAGATCATGAGTATATCTCTATATGTGTGAAGTTTCGGTGAAATTCATACTAAACGTCGATGCCTTTTTTTCAAAATCGGGGGCGCTTAACCGTTATCTAAATCATGTCGAAAGATCTTAGACTTGGCATGTGCTTAGAATGAATGTTGATCTAGTCAAATCGAACACTTTTGTGAAAAATAAATCAATAAAGTACGAAATACAGAAGATAATCTCTCAAAATCAGAAAGCTATAGCAGTGTGGCCTAATTGTGACGTCACTACAAGATAGAATTCATCCAGTGATCGCAAATCATCAATTAAAGGATATGACGTTAATTGACATATGATATGTCATATAAAAAGATATGACTGACCTAATCATATCAACAGTAATATGTATATAATTTGTATATCTTGAAGAATATGACATAAACTGAAATATGATACAACATCATGAGACCTAATGATATCAACTGTTATATGTACAGTATATCGACTTACACTACGTAACTCTTCTTCTGTCAATTTGTCGATCCCTTCTCTCTGCATTGCACGATCAATGTAGTTTATAAGCACCGCATCTTGTAGTAGTTTCTGCCTGAGAAGACTATGAAGAAGCATACCTTTGGCTAGATGTCTCTGGAAAACAAGGTTTTATTGCCTTTAATTCATATAAGTTCAGATCACACATGATGGATAGATATGGTTTTAATTATAAAATCATGAATTTATAATTAAAACCAATGAGCTCATACACATAATGCAGAACTTCCATCAGTAGCAATTTTCTCCAGTTGCTAAACTGAAATCATTTGTTGCTTTGAGAAACTTTGCAACTAAACTGTTTCAATGCTAAAATTATAATTTCAAATAACTTTCCTAATTGTTTTCATTTATACATGCCTGTTTGAGAAATTATGATGAATTCATTCACTATGGAAGGTCTACATGTATATATGTGTATTACATACCTAGCGAAGCATTTGTATGGAAGTCAATGGAACTGAAGGTCGGCTATATATTCCTGCATAGCCGCCAAACTTTTTTACCATGATGACTTTATGACGTCATAACATGTAAACAAAGTAATTTCGACTGGAATCATGTAAAATTTTGGTCTTTTTTCACGCATTTCTACATATTATCTTGATGAAATGTTATGTAAATGTACTTTAGGTATGTAATACAACAATTATGTCTGTATCATTGAATATATGCCTTCGGTCCGTCGTCAATATAACCTTCGCAAGCTTGGGCAATATTGCTGACAGACCTCAGGCATATATTCAATGATAGGGACATAACTGCTAGATATGACTTACCTTTTTTAATACCACATACAGGGTGTCCCAAAAAAAAGGAAACCAGCAATAGATTGCTTATTCCTCAAATATGAATAATGATAGGAAAATTTCACAGCTACCATCTGATAGATTATGATGTCCTCTTTCTTATGATACCAAAGTTGTCTATTTCCCTTCACGGATGACTGAGTTATAAGGGATTTAAGTGACCATGTCAGAAATGAGTTTGTACCACTTTCAGCCAAGTCAATTTCACCATCATAACAAAGTGATAAGTAACAACAAACATCAGGATATCACTCTTATACTCATTTATTCCAATTAAAATTACACATATCATATTTAACACCCCTTTTAAATCCCAATGTCAATTCAAAGCTGTTTTAACCCCAGTGTCATCATAAGGGATGCAGTACGTGCGATGAGATCAAGGGCAGACATTTGCATTGAAAGGAATGGGGGTCATGTTGAAGGACACTGGGGTTAAAACAACTTTGAATGGACATTGGGATTTAAAAGGGGTGTTAAATATGATATGTGTAATTTTAATTGGAATAAATGAGTAAAAGAGTGATATCCTGATGTTTGTTGTTACTTATCACTTTGTTATGATGGTGAAATTGACTTGGCTGAAAGTGGTACAAACTCATTTCTGACATGGTCACTTAAATCCCTTATAACTCAGTCATCCGTGAAGGGAAATAGACAACTTTGGTATCATAAGAAAGAGGACATCATACCCTATCAGATGGTAGCTGTGAAATTTTCCTATTATTATTCATATTTGAGAAATAAGCAATCTATTGCTGGTTTCCTTTTTTTTGGGACACACTGTATAACAAGATATATGACTTACCATGTTAGGTCTAGATATATATATGACTTACCATGTAAGGTCTACATATAAGAGTTACCATGTAAGGTCTAGATATATGACTTACCATGTAAGGTCTAGATATATGACTTACCATGTAAGGTCGGGATATATGACTAAGTTCTAATGGTTTCTCTTGAAATAAATGACTGGCAGCTAGGATTTCATCAACACTTGGATGACTTTTGGCTTTGATCTGTAATCAAATAATGCACATCAAAGATATGATAGATTTAAAATTCCAATGTAAGACATCTATACATGTAAAAACTTAAAAGATGGCAACCCACTTAAAATACACACTGAATTTTTAAACAAGACATTTACATGCAAAATGTCACAACCTGCCATTTGTTACAGACACCTCCAGCAACGCAAAATGCCGACTGCCAAACACCATCCACCGAAAAGTTGGAGACATTAACAATATGTCACCACTTGATAAATAAATCTTGACCATATCAAAACATTTTTCCCATGTTTTACTAAATATGAATAGTATGAAAATGGTATTAGCTTCCATATCAAGAGAGAAATGGCCTAGCAAGGAATATACCTTTAATGACTTATTCATCTACCCAGCCCTTGATAACACAATACTGATAATAAAAACTTTGCCTGGTTCATATTGGATACATTTCCCGAAAAATATTCATGACTTAAGAAGCAATGGTCTTTTTCCTGGTCTAAATCAACTAAATGAACCTGGTCAAAAGTACAGTAAAACCTGTCTAAGTTGAACACCTTTCGGTACCTCTAAAAAGTGTTCCACTTGTGAGGTGTTCAACTTGCAGAGGTTCATTTAACATTAAGTCATTTGGTCTTGTGACTCTGAAGTGTTCCGTTTACAAAGGTGTTCCACTTCTAGAGGTGTTCCACTCCACATGTTTCACTGTATTCATTACAACGTCAGATACATTATAACACTGAAATTACCCTTTGTAGTATCTTCTCTAGTTTTTCTCTACTGTCTGTGTCCTTTATCTTCTTGACTTTAGCAGCTAGACCTTTTATAATTGGTTTGTGTTGTGCAACTCTCTGACTATGGTAATGTAAGGCGAAGTCTTTCTTTTGCTCTGTAGACCAGAAATGGTACGATAAAAACTGACGAGGGAAGAAATACCTAAAAGCAAAATTTATATTTTAGCATAAAGCAAATTGTGTGTATACTTAAGTGATAATTATCTTTAATTCAGTATCGTTTTCTTTCAAAAAATAGCAGGATGTTTAGTATGTATATGATAAACTTTGTGCAACTGATTATCAAGGACAACTTATTTGAAATGAAAATTGAAGTTGGTTATGAAGCAGTAAAAGGAAGTGCTAAACCCTAATAAACCTTAGTGCTACTTTTGTAGACTATTCCATTGGAAACATCGTGAAAATGGAACATTGAAGGTATGTATAAAGCTTGCAGTATAGAAAGAGGAACTTACGCTACTGGAAAGACTATATAATTGGCGAATGGGAGAGCAGATATGGCCAGCACTGGACCAACTGTCCATAGACACTCAGGCATCTATCAAAGAAGCAAGAAATACCATATAATTTATTGCTTGACATATGAGGCCCACTGCCAGTGCGTTTTGATTTGTGCAGAACCATTAAAGTACATCCCATTTGCATGTGATGTGTTTACAATTGATGAAAAAGCATGGATATAGAATAAGGCTTTAATCCATCGATTCATTTTAATCTACATGTATATATACAAATTTATCATAATCAAGGCCAACATATAGCAGTTCCACAGCGTAAAAATCTAGGATTCTTAAATAAAATATGTAGCCAAGCAATAGCCAGAGCTTGAAATTAGCCAGAGCTTGGGAAAAGCCAGATTTTAGGAACAGCCAAGGCAGGGGAATAGCCAGAGCAGGGGGACAGCCAGAGCTTGGGAACAGCCAGAGCTTGGGAACAGCCAGAGCTTGGGAATAGCCAAAGTTGATCTGTGAACCTTATAGGTAATTTAAGTAAGACAGTGCAACCTCATCCTTCCAAGATATATTATATAAATCCCAGTCCCATTTTACCACCAAGCTTGAAGCTCCATACATGGTGTCCCAAAAAATTGTACCCAAATGAAATTTGAATAACCCTTTTTTCCTTTATCAAGAAAAACTGAACTGATAAAGAGAATTCATTTTACAATAGACGTTTCCCATAAAATATGCCACCTATGCAATCTGTCCATGCAAATATAAGATAAACTTATTGCTTTATCACAATTAATGCAGAGCTCAATGTAAATCAAAACATGGGAAATAGGTGAGGGTACTAAAACGAGTTTTTCTCTTAAAATTGAGAAGAATTACCTTGTTGAACTTTTAGAAGTATTTTTATATGAAAATTAAATTTCCTGTCAGATAACAAATTTCAAGAATATTCCTTTATCACTCACAAAGTTATATTATGTTTGTCTCTGGACAATCTTTTGGTACACCCTGGATATAAACATCCATTTTTGAACAATTTTTGTGGGAATTTTTAAAGTTGCATTGATATACTCACACCAGTGGAAATACAGCAACATCAAGTATTGGAATATTGAGGAACACCAGAATGGGGATGACACCAAACATAGAAGATGGCAACTAAAGTTATAACAAGACAATTGGTTTAAATAAACAGTTTGTGTCAAAAATGCAGAGGGGGACTTTTGAATATTATTAGACTGTCTAAACATATGAAATATAAGGAGATAGTGGTGCATTCCAATGTAAATAGCAAAATGCCACTGACTTGTGGAATCTATCCCAGATGTTTGTTTAAGAATGTGTTTTTAAAAAATTAGTAGGCATGATTTTTCATGTGTTGTTAAGTTCTTTTCTCTTATTTTTGTGAATGTGACTCAATCTTAGTTGCATCTTTACACTTTTTACTTGAGTAATATTTTGTAAAGTTGCACCACTAGAACTAAATTATAAAATTCAAGGGCATCAATACCCCAAATATGGAAAGAATCTTGACTTTAATATGGAAAATATAAATGTACAATGTATCCATACTTTTTCACCATATTTAATGGTTTTACTAAGACCAGAATAAGTATTTGTTTTCGATGGTCACTATGGTTTCAAAATTTGACCCCATACAAGGGAATTTTTTGTAAAATTTGGATGATATATATTTTGATCCTACATCAAAAATTTGTGTTTAATTAAGGTAATGTTTAGTGACCCAATTTGTTTTCATCTTTTCAAAATTTATAAGGCATTTAACTATTATAATATGACCATTTAATAATTAGTGTTTCTTGTAAAAAATATGTTAAATTGAATTACAAAGAATGAATTTTTTCTAAATATTAATTTATAATTTCTATGTTTTATGTGTCTTATTGACTATTAAATTCTACCTCTCTGTATATCTCTAGCTGTTTTCTTGAGAAAGTAGAGAGTTCCTGGCCACCCCATATTTGTTTTGTGACAGAGAAATATGTCCTTGTATCAGCTATGAATTCACTCGTTCCTACAAAATAAAAGGGACTATAAGCATTTTTGCATAACATTGGTGATTGACATTTTTAATTTAAGCCAGTTTCATCCCTATCATAGTATTACCATTAGTCTTGCTTCAAGACTGTTAAACCCACCCTCTATTTACACCGTCTTCACTAACACAACATAGGTGCAGTAGATAAGGGGGAGGGGGTCCATGGTCTTAAGCATGATTTCATTACCATATTTACCCTAAATCTATAATTAATTAACATGCATGTTATCAACACTGATTGCAATTTATCATAGACCTTAAAGTAACACAAAATATGCTATATTTTAGAATGTGCTAACTATTATAATATTGAACAGATGAATCAATTGACTAAAATAACTTTCATATTAAACCAAATAAAAAAACTGTCAAGTGAAACACTTCTCTAAATGAAACACTCATAAGTACACTACTCATTGATTTAAGGCAAATAAAATGCATTCCAATATAGTACAGGTTTATGTAAAATGTTCTGACTGAATTTTACAAGAATTACAGGTATTTCATCAGGTACTTGAGATTTATACATTGTCACTCACCTGCTTTAAATACTTTATAAACTTTAAACACTTTGGGGTATTTAATTTCTAAATGTCTTTCAACCCATTGTAAACTCTTCAAGTAGACGTCATAAATTTTCCTCTTGACTTTGCCAGGCTGGGGTGGCTGTACATGAGGTCCTTCAGTGCTGTATATTCTGAAATAAAACAATCAATATTATAGTATGTTCGAGATCATTACATGTTCTTGCTGTTAGATATTCCTTAAATTATCATTTATTCAAACCAAATCTAGCCTAAAATCTCCACATATTTACTATAACGGGGTAGGCCCAATAGTACACATCTTTTATTGTTTTCTTCCTCACAATAAGATATTTTACAATATGGTATTGTCTCAATAAAAAATAATGATAACTAGACTTTGGAAATTGAACGAAGTTCAATTTCAGACTCCAGATCTAGACTTTTTTTGGCCGAGTCATCCAGAATAAGCCGAGTCATCCAAAATAAGCTGAGTCATCCAGAAAAAGATGGATGGATGGATGGATGAAAAAGGAAGGAACGATAGGATAGAATAAGAAAGAATGATAGAATAGAATATGAAGAAGGAATAGAATAGGAAGGATGGGAAGGAGAGGATATGAAGGAAAGGTAGATAAGAAGGATACGATAGGATCACAAAGGAAGGATGGATGCATTTTTCAATATTTTCTTCTCTACTCTTGACTTTCTATCAGGATACCATCAGATCGATTTTCTCGAAATTTCAAAACGCCATAACTTTCGAATCGGAAGTCGGATCGAAATTTGGTTTGCAGACTCGGATTCCTGAGAAAATTCTACCCTTAATTCATAACTCATATGTTAAATTTGGAGAACTTTTTATTTTGACCTACTTTTCGGACACCATATCTCAAAAGTGGGTAGAAACACTTTCTGACGGCAAAAGGCTAACACTATTAGCACACTTTTTCCTACCTGTATACAAAATTTTGAAGCAAATCATTTAAACATAGTGTCAGAATCGTAAAAATAAGGAAAAACTATGAATTTGACCTAGATTTTGACCTGGGGATTTTGGTGTCCAAATTTTGAAGTTAGGTAGCCTTCGAGGTCCCCTTCTTTCATAGGCTTACATTATTTTAAGCTGTACTTAGTCTATATCTCGAATTTTACACTTCAAAAAAATCTTTTTTCCCATTGACATAACATGGGGCACCAAATTTAGCGATTTTTGAGCTTTCAAAATGTCATAACCTCCGAATAGGAAGTCGGATCGAAATTTGATTTGCAGATTCGGATTCCTGAGAAAATTCTATACTTAATTCATAACTCAAACGTTAAATTTGGAGAATTTTTTATTTTGACCTACTTTTCGGACACCATATCTCAAAAGTGGGGCAAAATACTTTCTGACGGCAAAAGGCTAACACTATTAGCACACTCTTGGCTACATGTATACAAAATTTTGAAGAATATAATTAATCTGTAGTGTCAGAATCGCAAAAATAAGGAAAAACTTTGAATTTGACCTAGATTTTGACCTAGGCATTTTGGTGTCCAAATTTTTATGAAAAGAAGGTTTTGAGGTCCCTTTCTTTTATGGGCTTCCATTATGTTTAGCTGTGCTTAGTCTGTATCTCGTATTTTACACTTCAAAAAAATATTTTTTCCCATTGAATTAACATGGGGCACCAAATTTAGCGATTTTTGAATTTTCAAAACGCCATAACTTCTGAACCGGAAGTCAAATCGAAATTTGGTTTTCAGATTCGGAATCCTGAGAAAATCTCCTATAAGACTGATATCCTGGACATTGGATTCGGAGTACTTTTTTTTGGACCTCGTTTTCGGACACTGATATCTCGAAATCGGTTTGAGATACCAAAAAACTAAATCGACCCTAGATTTTCTACTTTTTTATGAGGAACACAATGAAAAAAAAACAGATCAAAAATATTGAAGGACGACCGAGAAAATCGAAAAAAGTGACAAAGTACTGGATTTGACCTAGTTCTTGACCTTTGACCTAGATAAAAATTTGACCCAATTTCCCACCAACTAGATACTGAACCTAAATGAACTGTATAATGGTCTTTACTGGATACCTTATAGTTATTGAAAAAACTCTTAAAGAAAAATAATAAGAAGAAGAAGAAGAAGAAGAATACTGGCAAAAACAATAGACTCCAGATTGACATCTGGAGTCTAATAAGAAAACTGGCAAAAGCAATAGACTCCAGATGAAATCTGGAGTCTAATAATAGGATTTGGCCATACGCGTATAGAGGGAAATGGCTCTACGGACGCTCTGAGGGCCTATAATGGTCGATTAAAGGACGGAGAATCTAGGGAGGTAGTTGGGGAGAATGCCTGGCTCGTGCTTCGCGGATCCGTCGAGGTCAAAAAATAGTCCTTCAAAAAATAGGCCTTCCAGACGTCTATATAGAGCTTTCGACGTAGATTCGAGCAGCGTACGCGTCGTTCTACATTCCGCAATCGTTAGTTTGAGGAAGGGAATCGTTGTTTACGAAATGCTCTAGTCATCGTTCGGGCCTATTTTCTTTCAAATGTCTGTTGTTCGCAGAGATACGTATACCAAGTGTATTCGTGCCGTCTAGATATACGGCAACGGTGGCCCGTACGCGAACTTCAAACGCGTATATCTCGATAACTAATGGTCGGATTTCAATTTGGTTCACTGTTTTTTTAATGCTCGGAAAACTGTCTTTCCGACCAGCTAGTTTTCCTCCGATTCTGACTTCTTAAGGAGGCTCGAGAGGCCGAAATAGCGGAAATGCAGATTTCGACCTAGATTTCGACCTTTGACCCAGATAAGGATTTGACCTAATTTCCGAGCAACTACGCCTAGCCCCCTAACAACGTGTACGAGTAGATTTATCCAAATATCTCTCGTTGATGAGAACGTGTGGTTAGAAGGATTTTTGCTTTTGCACATACAAAAGCAAAAATCACTAGACTTTGGAAATTGAACGAAGTTCAATTTCAGACTCCAGATCTAGACTTTTTTAAGCCCAGTCATCTAAAATAAGCCGAGTCATCGAGAATAAGCTGAGTCATCCAGAATAAGATGGATGGATAAAATTCGAAGGTAGGATAGGATAGAATGGGAAGGAACGATAGGATAGAATAAGAAAGAAGGATAGGATAGAACAGAATAGGAAGAAAGGATATGATAGGAGGGGATAGGAAGGATAGGAAAGAAAGGATACGAAGGAAGGATAGATAGGAAGGATAGGATAGGATCAGATAGGAAGGATGGGTGAATTTTTCAATATTTTCTTCTCTACTCTTGACTTTCTAACAGGGTACCATCAGATCGATTTTCCGAAATTTCAAAACGCCATAACTTCCGAACCGGAAGTCGGATCTAAATTTGATTTAAAGATTCGGATTCCTGACAAAATTCTACCCCTAATTCATAACTCATACGTTAAATTTGGCGAATTTTTATTTTGACCTACTTTTTGGACACGCCATAACTTCGGAACCGGAAGTCGAATCGAAATTTAGTTTGCAGATTTGGATTCCTGACAAAATTCTACTCTTAATTCATAACTCATACGTTAAATTTCGAAACTTTTTATTTTGACCTACTTTTCGGACACGCCATAACTTCCGAACCGGGAGTCGGATCGATATTTGGTTTGCAGTTTCGGATTCCTGACAAAATTCTACCCCTAATTCATAACTCATATGTTAAATTTGGAGAACTTTTTATTTTGACCTACTTTTCGGACACCATATCTCAAAAGTGGGTCAAAATACTTTCTGACGGCAAAAGGCTTACACTATTAGCACACTCTTGGCTACATGTATACACAATTTCGAAGAATATAATTGAAGTGTAGTGTCAGAATCGCAAAAATAAGGAAAACCTTTGAATTTGACCTAGATTTTGACCTAGGAATTTTGGTGTCCAAATTCTGAAGCAAGATGGCTTTTGAGGTCCCCTTCTTTTGAAGGCTTTCATTAAATTAAGCTGAACTCAGTCTATATTTCGTATTTTTCACTTCAAAAAAATCTTTTTTCCCATTGACTTAACATGGGCACAAAATTTAGCGATTTTTGAGTTTTCAAAACGCCATAACTTCCGAACCAGAAGTCGGATCGAAATTTGGTTTGTAGATTTGGATTCCTGACAAAATTCTACCCCTTATTCATAACTCATACATTGAATTTGGAGCACGTTTTGGTGTGACCTACTTTCTGGACGCCATATCTCAAAATCGGTTTGAGATATCTAAAAAATAAATCGACCCTAGCTTTCCTACTTTTTTATGAGGAACACAATGAAAAAAACCTGGATCGAAAATATTGAAGGACGACTGAGAAAATTGAAAAAAGTGACAAAGTACTGGATTTGACCTAGTTCTTGACCTTTGACCTAGATAAAAATTTGACCCAATTTCCGAGAAACTAGATACTGGACCTAAATTGACCATATACAGGACTTGACTCAATGTCTTCTAGTTATTGAGAAAACGCGTAGAGAAAAATAATAATAATAATAATAAAGAAGAATACTGACGAAAACAATAGACTCCAGATTACCTCTGGAGTCTAATTAAACATTGAATAAAACAAAATTTGAAGAAAAAAAACTACTTCAAGACTGAATTATTTTTCATAAATATGATAGAAATATTGAATGATGTGGAGTTGGATATCTGTATATATTTCTGAGGGTGTATCCAACGATGCCCACAGAGGTTACAATATTCATTTTTCGTGTTATCTTTTTTAAGTCTTTCCGATGTGAAATCAAAGAATTGGACTAAATGAAAATGAATTAAAGAAAACATAATTATTTTTCTGAGTTGAGACGGAATACCGCCATTATTTTTAGTCACATACTACCTGATTGATCAATGAGAAAGTGAGTGTCGCGGCGTGGAAATAATAATATAATTCATTTCACTGGTGAAAGAAATTTTAAGCAAAATAATTATTTTCAAATAAATGAAGCTAAAATACAACCCCAAACAAAATATGTTAGCAGCAGCCTATTGTTGGTGGCCAAAGGCTGTTATATAAGACCAAAAAACGAATCCGTTTGAGATTTGCATACTAAGAATCATCACTGAAAATTTGAAATTGATCGCTCCAATGGTGTGGCTGAAAACGCATAGACAAGAATTTACAGACAAGATTTGAAAATGGAAAAATCCGAAGTGGCTGCCTAATCTCCAAGGCCCCTAGAATGAGACCTCTCACCATTTGACAGATTGCATGACTCTATAATATACAAAATTTGGTGAGGGTCCTAGCTGAGCCCTCAGATATCAATATGTTCCCATACAAATCTGTCAAATTTCAATGTGTCACCATACCGACCAATTAAATTGATCATTGCCATACCTCAAGTCATAATTTGGGGGGCATTCTCTTACCACATACTAAAATTTGGGTCCATTGCCATACCAAATATCATAAAAGATACCCCACCACGCGGTAGAGATTTCAACCACAATCCTTGATATGTCGCCAGTTCTTCTATCACTCTCCGCCATATTCTGCGCAAGGACTCCCATTACAACCCTCCATCGCTGCATCAACATATTTATCACATTAAACGCAGCAATTTCCAAAAGTCCTACACATCTGTTCGAAATTGATCAAAACGCCCGTTCTCTTCCAAAACGCCCTGTTGGATCTATACACCTTATCAGTAGTCATAGACTCTGCGCAGTGGGCGTTTTGGAAGACAACAGGGCATTTTGGTCAATTTCGAACAGTTGCGTAGGACTTCTCAATTGCTGCGTTTATAAATATGTTGATGCAGCGATGGAGGGTTGTAATAAGAAAAACGGCGTAGTGTGAGACTCACAATCATTTATTTTCTAAAGACAGGGTAGATTTGAAATTCAAATTAACGGTTTTGCGGGGCGTTTTGGTTTCAATACGCCCCGGTGAGTTAGTACCGCATGCCCATGTGAGCCGAGAATCCCCCATTCAAATCCCCATCAAGGACAGTGAAACCACAGGGCATGACGTGATGTTGCGAGACATGGTCTAAGTCACCACTACCAAAACTTTGATTTTTTTTCTTTTTCGCATTACAATTTCAGTTTCACAACAAATTGAATAATTCAAAACAATCTGATTCATAATTTAATTTGTTGAATTTTTTTTTCTGAAAAAAACAAGCAATCTCAACTCAATATCAATGCCTAGCAAATTCCTTGATGGTGAAAGTGATGCACTGCGCTTTAAATCACTCACCTGACACAGCTGTAAGTGCAGGAATATGACAGTTTGCTAGTATTTAAGAAAAGTGTTCGATTAATGATACCGGTAGCCATACCGGAAACGAGCGTGTATTCACTGAAACGTAAACTGACAGCTGATGTGAAACGAATTTGTATATTTTTATTCTTGCTCTAATCTTTTATTACTTGAATAACAATCTTTAATAAGATAAGATACAAATGATTAATATTATTGAATATAAAAGTTCTTATCATTTGTACCCCTTTTATAATAATAAGGCATTATTTTCGTTTCAGGTATTCCTCCATACAACTCCGAAATAAAGTTTTAAACTCCTCAACTTTTAAACAAAAGTCTATCTTTTCAATCAATAGTATCGCTCCAACATTATAATATGTATTTACGGTACCATGATATCAATTTTAACATGTTACCAACAAACAATAGTAATGCATACATCAGGTAGGATACAGTTATTTTGATCTAGACCTAACATGAGTAAGAAAGAGAGTGGGAGGGGGTACCCCATGTGGGATGGATTTTCTTTTCAGGACAACTCTACTATCTGTTGCAATGCCTATGCTCATGAGTTTATCCATAAACTTTCTTGTGTATTCTGTGGAACTTGATCGCAATATCAGTGGCGTAGGAACAATGTACGCCAAAACGCCAGTGCGTAGTGTTGAAAAGTGAGAATAAAAAGGCTTATTAATTTTCCTATGTTCTTTATTCATATTTTCTCATTGTATTGTCCAAAAGTAATCTCGAGCACACTAGCCTAAAGAAATGTTTTGTGGATACCATATGATATGCTCGTTTTTTCAATAGTACTCTTTTGCATGTTTTTTGTGCCTCTGTTATTTTTCTAATCTGGGCCACAGATAAATGACACTTTTTGAAAAATAAAATATTGAAAGTAACCTTGTTTCTATAATTCTAATCCTAGAAAATGCAAAAAGTAACATGCTTTATTTCATGATAATCGAGCCACTATTGACTATCTTATGGATTTTAAAACTAAAATACAATTTCGCCAAATATTCGTGATTCGCGTTCTCTTCACGAATTTGAGAAAAAAACGTTTTTTTCAAAAACTACTTGATGAATACCTTTGCAATTTTTTTGCGCATGTTCTGTAATGCTTATGCAATCAAACTGTGGTCTCGTTTAATTATAATGATAAGCCTCTTTAAATGAGATGTATATTTTTTTTATTCTCCCCTACCCCCAATTTTTCAATTTCACAATATCGATTTATATTCCGTTGCTAGGCAAAATCATAGACAGAAATTATAGTTAAGTCAGCAATTATCTATTTTCTTACTAAATCACCAATTGTTATTGGTAGTACTTCTTGAAATATGAATGTTAAAGACAAAAACAACTTGAAAATGTTGATTACTCAAATACGCGTTCCATCGATTTCAGGTCTAGAAAAGCTATTATCTAGATTTTTATTTCATTTGAAAGATAATAGATTATTGTTTTAGGAAATATAACATTTTTGGCACCCCCTAAGTCACGTTGACCTCGATTTGACCTTTGTGGTGGGAAGTTTATTTGGTCTTGCGAATTAGTGTTATAAAAAAGGTTGCAGACATTAGGGTTAATTGTTTCATTGATCACGAATGCGTTACTCTAAATCAATTGATCAAGCTAGATTCTTTAATCTGTACGTGTCGTATTGCACGGTACACGATGGAATCAGACAATACTATATATCTCAATTTAATTATTCGAAAATGATTAAAAATCTCTCATTGTTATTTGGAAATTGATCGTCTATATCGTTCGAGACATAAGTGAAGTGAGAATGATTTGTGATTTTCCATGGCGATTTTAAATGATGAAAATCATTCGAACATTTTAACCACATTAAAAGGGGCATCAAGGATTTTAAGCTTGCATATAAAATCGAAACGCCAACCTATACGTATGACCAATCGCCCATACAAATGCATCGCTTAAACATTTCCGTTCACATTTAGGTTATGAAAACATTGCATTCTGTATTGCCATAAAATGACGTTTAACGAGCATAAAATAGGCGTTTTGATATAGAATATTTGACACAATTGTTTCATAGTTTTGGCGGGATTTTTTGGCGTAGTGTTGAATTTACACCTTCCTACGCCCCTGCGCATGATCCTTCTTTAGTAATTAGATCCATGGGAATTGCCAGTAGTCCATTAGTCTATATCCAATAGACTGAATTTCCTGAGAATTCAGTCTATTGATCATTATGTCCCTCCTGTGGGAAAAAACAGGAAATTTCAGGCACACAATTATCAATTTTAGGAAACTTACTTCCCAAAAATAAGCATTATAACAATTCAATTAAGTAGTAAGGTACAATTAAATGCTATGAAAAGTAACACAGCATATTCACGCCCGGTGATCGTGAATATGGGATGGAGGGGGGTTACTCGAGTCTCTAGCTTACAGCTAGACGAAACTTCATTGATTTCGTATGTACTGTGCTACACGCACCTACACGCACCTAGAACTCATTTTTAATAAATTTTATAAATATTTTTAAGAATATTAATCATATTTAGGATGAAGCGTTGCTTGTCTGGATTTAGATATTTCAAAATTTCATTTCGGAGTTTGACACATGGTGAAATTTTCTCGCTGTAGCTAAAAATGGCTTCCGGTTCTGGACGTGAATAACATTTGAAATTATTCTCGCTTAAAGAAATCAAATATAACAATAGATTCAGACGGGGATGTGAGCTGATGTTCTTCAAATCTATACATAAAGGTATATTTCATATTATTATGCCATATTTACTGTGCGTGTGACACAATGATTTACAATATTTATAATACTAAGGCAGCTCAATCTTCCTCCTCAAAGCCGGAATATAGAGAAGGCTTTGGACCGAAGTCAGAGGGGGGGAGCAGGCAATTTCTGCTAGGAAATTCAACAAATCTGGAAGATTTATTTTTTCAAGAAAAAGTTTACTATTGAATTGCTAAATGGATAGGCGCACCGTATGGTAGAATATGTTAGGTTTTCTGGGATTTTTTCTGAAACGATACGCATCTCACTGGCGGATTAGGGGGGGGGGCAAAAAGGCCCCAAAAAGTCGGCCTTTTTGGTCATTACTGGGCCTTTCAAGGCCTTATTTTTTAAATTCAGGCCAAATTTTGAAGAAAATGGGCCTCAAAATTTCAAAATTTGGGCCCACTTTTCCGTTTTAGGGGCCCAAAAATTTTTGCCGCGCAAGCGCGGACTTTTTTTTTCTCTGACCTGAAATTTGGGCCCCCCCCCCCTTGTTGATTCCCAGATCCGCCCCTGCATCTAAGGTATGAGATCTATTAAAAAAGGTGCAAGGCCATCAACAGGCACAAATCAACGTTTTTGCTATAAATCAAGCAACAATGGACTACACGACCTGTAATAAATACTTGTAAGTGATGTTATCATAACTAAATTAATGTCATTGCTGAATTTATAAAATAAGTTTCCATATGTGAAATAAAAAATAGTCAAAAATAATGAATTTGGGACGGAGGGGGGGAGGGGACGGAGGGGGGGAGCAATATGTATATAAGACATGATTAGAGATGTTTCGCGACTTTAAGTCCTTTTACTCCAAATGTCCCCATTTTTCAGTCTCCAGGGGTATATCATCCAGTTTCTTACTTAGTTAATGAGTTCATTTTTCAAATACAAGAATTCGTGTGAAGTTGTTTCACTTTATAGAATTATTACTCCCCCCCTCCGTCCCCCCCCCCTCCGTCCCATTTTAATTATTTTCCATTATTTTTTATTTTACGTATGGAAACTTATTTTATAAATTCAGCAATGACATTAATTTAGTTATGATAACATCACTTACAAGTATTTATTACAGGTCGTGTAGTCCATTGTTGCTTGATTTATAGCAAAAACGTTGATTTGTGCCTGTTGATGGCCTTACGCCTTTTTTAATAGATCTCATACCTTAGATGCGTATCGTTTCAGAAAAAATCCCAGAAAACCTAACATATTCCACCATACCGTGCGCCTATCCATTTAGCAATTCAATAGTAAACTTTTTCTTGAAAAAATAAATCTTCCAGATTTGTTGAATTTCCTAGCAGAAATTGCCTGCTCCCCCCCTCCGTCCCATATTCACGATCACCGGGCGTGATATTGTCAAATGGAAATAAAGCTAGGGGAAGTAACAAGTATGCAAATTAATTTACCCCGTCAGCCATTTTGAATGGCACTTCCTATGTAAACAAATATTTTTCAATCCCAAATTTTAACATATGTGGGCTATAGTCTGAATATTTTCATTCCAAATTTCAAAAAAAATTCAGACGAGAGGATATAGTCTAAGTAGTCCATGGTAAATACTGGTAGAGGGCTATTCCATGGAAATAACCATGGAAAACCATGAAACTTTCCATGGTAATTACCGGTATTTCCTGGAAAAAACCAATGTAACTGTCCATGGTATTTACCATGAAAAACTGGGAATGTAATCAAGTCCAATGGTTTGTACTTCTTCAAACCTTAATGAGAGTATCAGATCTAGTGAGCAGCCTTACAAAAATATTAGGATAAATTTTCAAAAATCTTTATTGGGGTTTTTAGCTTGTTTTGATGGCCGGAATGAAGTTGAACTTCAAAGTATCAGTGGATTTGCAAGACTCTCAAAGTTTCCTCTTGTCCATTATTCTAAATGATAGATTGTATTTTCCATAAAGATGCAGTTTGACCCTATTTCAGCCAGCCTACTGGGCAAGGCAAAAAATGTAAGTAATCAAACCCATGAAATACGCAAACTAGAACAATAAATGCCTGCAAATGTCAAGGGGGTGTGATTTTTTTGTATGCAATCCCACCTATTGCACACAACCCGCTGGCAGATCCAGAAGCTAGCAAATGGAGGGGCTGTATTTCAAGTCTGTAAAGAAAACTTAAGGCCTATCTTTGAAAATTTGGCCCATATGCCCAAAAAGGCCCATTTTTGGGGCCCTTAAAAAGATTTTGGGCCCATCCAAGGGGAAATCTGCCAGTTCACCTTGATATGTTGCCCTAATAACTACAATTACATAGCTGTAGGGACCGGGGGTTTGATGGGTTCGGACGAACCCCCGCTCAGGATTTCCCCAAAAAAATAT